TGCCTGCAAGATGTAGGACTCTCAGCTACTTCTACAGCACCACGTCTGTCTGCACACTGCCAGGCTTCCTGCCATGATAATGGGCTGGACTGCAAACACCTCAATTAAGTATTTTCCTTTATAAGAGTTCCGATGGCCATGGTATCTCTTCACAGCAAAAGAAACCCTAAGACAGTTACAACATAGTTGGCTGTCAAGCATGTACCTATAGCCTCATTGGGTGTGCCCTATGATCAGTTGACTGAGGAAGAGAAGACTAGGAAATGGTTTACTGATGGTTCTGCACATTATGCAGGAACCACTGAGAATGACATCTGGGGTGTGGGGGGGGAGAGTATGGCAATGGATTTCTCCAAATAGGTGAAGGATGTGAAGATATCTGTGTTCCATGTAAATGCTCATGTAAGGGTGACTTCATCTGAGAAAGGGTTCAATAATCAAGTAAATAGGATGCCCAGGATGTCCTATTCTGTTAGATTAAAAAAGAACTTCTAGATCAAAAAGCACATGCACATTTTAACTAGTTTAAAAAAATTAAGATGAAGCCAGGATTGATCCCAGCACTCAGTAGGCAGAGGCAGGTGGATCTCTATGAGTTCATGGCCAGCCTGGTCTACAGAGCAAGTTCCAGGACAACCTCCAAAAATACAGAGAAACCCCCGTCTCAAAAAAACAAAACAACAAAATAATAAAAAATTAAAAAAATAAGATGAGTGCAGGAGACTCCAGTCTTCTCCCTCCCCTTCCCTACCCCATACCTCAAGGCCTGCAGGTCTGTGTGGAGCCAAGATTATGAGTTTCTCTTCCTCAAGATGGTGTTCATGAAAGTTATCAAAAATAAGGTCTGCTTTAAGAGGTACCAAGTGAGATTCAGAAGGTGGGAGAGGATAAAATTGACTACTATGCTCAGAAATGATTGGTGATCCAGGACAAAAAAATATAGGATGTTGTATAACCAACAGAGATATTATCTGCCTGTGTATGCCTGTAAAAGGCAGTATGATAGTCTGTGCAGACATGCACATGAACTGCCAAAATACAGGGTGAAAGTTGGCTTGACAAATTATGCTGCAGCCTGTTGTACTGGCCTGAGGCTGTCCCAAAGGCTTCTCAAAAGGTTTGGCATGGACAAGATCTACGAAGGGCCAAATTGAGATGAATGCAATGTGGAAAGCATTGGTTGTCAGCCTGGTGCCTTCACATGTACAACTGGCAATAAAGCTTTTGGGGCTCGGAAGGGAGTTGTGGATGGAGGCTTGTCTATCCCCCATAGTACCAAACAATTCCTGGTTATGGCTCCTGAAAGCAAGTTTAATGCAGACATACACCAATAGCACAACATGAGTCAGAATGTTGCAAACTACAGGTGGTACCTAATGCACGAAGATGAACATGCTTGTAAGAAACAGGTCTCTCAGTACAGAAAGAGCATCTTAACTCGAGACATGATGGAGGAGATGCATAAGAAAGCTCATGCTGCTGCTACCTGAGAGAATGCAGTCTATGAGAAGCAGGCCAAGAAATGAGAAAGAGGTAGAACCACATGTCCTGTCCTAGAAGACTGAGTTGCTTAAAAGAAGGTAAGCTCCCTCAGAGCTCAGGAATGTGCTACTGAGAGCTAAAGCAATTTTTATGAAGATTTTTTCATAAAGACAATAAACTTAATGACCAAGCAGCAAATAAATATTAAGATGTACATTGCTAAGAGCTTATGGACTGAAACTCGTCCCATAAATATTGTGTTAGTGGGGAGGTAATATGTTTTCCAGTCTGATAATTGGGAACTAATAATTTCTGGTGAAATGGAACCAGCTTTCCTCTCTTATTAGTATTTCCACGTTCTTTCTTACATTCTCTTCCTTCATTTGTGATTTTGAGACAGGGTCTCTGGATATTATAGCGCTGGTCTTCCGAGAATTTCCTGTGTAGACCACGCTGGCCTCAAAAATCAGAGGTCTGCTTACCTCTGTCTTCCTGCTGGGGTTAATAGGCTGTGCCGCCCTACCAGGCCTCTGCTTTATTTTCCACAGTGATATCAAAGAGAAAATTTAAAACCTACAATTTAATCATTCCTTCCACATACTCTTCTTAAAGTCTATCGGTTTCTATTCATGCGATCAAGGCTCCTAACAGACCACTACGGTGCACATGGCCGATCAATACTATTGTAGTTTTTCTCCCCAACCAACGCATTCTCAAAGCATAACTTTGCTTCTTACTAACTGGCTCACGCCCACCAAGCAAGTTGAGAGAGAAGTCAAAAGACACCCTGGATCTACGGGCTGCGCTTGTGCACTTTGGATTCATCTGCAAGGGATAGCATTTCTGATGCTAGTGGCGGAATCTCAATTACAGGGCTGTAGATCCCAAATTAGGTGCAAGGCATCAGGTGTCACCTGTTGACTGTCAACGTGACAACGTATGCCAGTACTCAGCATCCTGAGCTGCCTAGACACGCCCTTACACACTCGTTTAGGAAGTCTCACACATTTCTGTACGTTTCTTCCTGGAGGTCACCGACACTGTCTACTAGAGCATGGCAAGGACTCCTGGCTTTCAGTCGGTATGTGCCTACTGATGACGGTGTGTTGTCCTGCGGACACACACTGCATTGCCAGAGAGCTGCCCTCCGCCAGCCAGACTCTCTCCGGAAAACCTGGACTAAGTTCCTTCCCAGAGAGCCACAGCCCCTTTCTTTCCCATGACTGAGGTTCCTTCTTCGCCTAGGCTTCCGGCCTCTAACAACCGCGTCTCTCCCGCCCCGGTTTCACTTCGCTGCTGAATTTAAGCCGCGGCTCGAACCGCTC